CCGGATTTTTGTTTGCTTTGAAAAAATATCTCAAAACGAACTTTAAAAAAGGAAGTTGAGAAAAATTTGTTTACTTTTTTTTAGTTATTTGAATCTTTTTTTATAGAATAGTAGTAGGAACTACTTTGAGAAGCCGGGCTGTTAAAGACTCAATAAGATTGGAAACAAATCAAGACGAAATTTTGGGTCAGTGTCAAACTACCGTATTTGTTCAACTAGGAGCCCACCCTATACGTCCACGAGCTCAATTATCTCGGTTCCTATGAGAGATATCAAATATCTGTCAAATGATAAAATATTGCTGATATTATGATAAACGATTGATCAGTTGACACATTTTATATATTTTATGAAGTAGCCGAGATAATTGAGCTCAAAGTGCACATATAGGCTGGGATTACGGTAGTTTAAGAAGTCGTGTAGTTATACTAAAAGATTAGTCTCAAAAGATTCGAAATAGGGTCTTGGGAAATTTTGAGATATTTCAAAATTTTTAAACTCTTTGAAATAATGGGAAAGAAACTATGAAATTGTTAAAATTGTCTGAAAATTATCTGAAAATCGCATTTTTTTGCTAACTCTTTTCTGGAATATTCTGAAGCTATAAAATTGCATACCGTAAGGCCTGTAAAAAAAGGGCCCCTAACTTTTAAATTCAAGACAATTTTGATTGGTTACTGTCATAGATGTCAACTGTTAAATTGTTTATCACAATATGATTTGTCTGTTGACATATTTTTGATATCGTTCATGGCAACCGAGATAATTTAGCTTAAACTTGACAAGTTGCGCTTTTGAATTACATGTTTTACGGTATCTTTGAAATGGATTTATATAATTTGAAAGTCTCAAAACGACACTTTTTCAATTTCAAACTTCTATAGTTTATAGACTACACGAAACCGTTTCATCTGAAAACTAATCCTTGAATCCTAAAAGTCTATACGAGAAATCAAAATTAAACTAATCCTTAAAATTAGGCTTGATATGGGGATCAGAGATGAACTATTGAAAGAAAATTATATTTTGTTCAGATCAAATTGAGTTCAAATATCTAATCTTGGATGTGTTTGTTTTGAAAAGTCGTCTCATTTTTGAGAATTTAATAAGGATTATTGGTGGATACCGTAATCCACTGAAAAACATTTTCTGGATGAAAAATGTACTCGAAAAGAGCATATTATTGGGAACAATGAGTCTAGAACTTAATACGAACGCCACAGAACCCAATAAAAAAATAAACTACAGTAACCCGACGCCTCGTTCAAGTAGGTTCCGTGTTCACCAAGAGAAAGAACATCTCTTAATTTCCAATTAATTCATTTCCCCCTCATTTTTTTTTGCAACATTGTTCTTCTTGCGTCAGTAAGTACGATGTTCTCATTTCCTTATTGTTCCTAAACCCCATGGATGGCTCTTTTCGTTGCTCACTGATTTTTGATTTTTCCTAAATTCCTCTGTCCAAAACTGTTACTGATGTAAATGTCAAATTCTGAAGTGCTCATCAGAAATCAAATTAGATCAATTTTGATCCACTCTCGTGTGCCGCCTAAAAATCTACTATGTTTCGCTTTATCACATCATCGAATTATCAGTTTTTTCTCTCGATGTGATATCATCTTCTCCCAAAAAACTAAGGATTATAATTTGGTATAACTAGGAGACGAAGTAGGATTCGCTAATGAAATTCAATTCCAAACTTCATGTAGGTCAAATGATGTCATTTATTATGCATTCGGATACATTTTGCACCTTTGCACCTTTGGAATTGGAGAGCAAAAAGATTATGGTGGTGGTTCTGGGTATTCTGTTGAATGGATGTTGATTGAATGTACAATAAACGGGGGAAAACAAAAAGAGTCTATTCAGAATGACGTTTAGACACATCCCCTAGTCTGGGTCTTATTCTGATTTTGAATGGGATTGTCAAGTGCGATTTTATCGGACAGCTGTTACATTTAGGGACGATTTTTTTTCAAGTCTAGGTATTGTTATGATTTTCCAAAGATGATCGGCGTAATCTTTCCGGTAATTTTCCTGAGATGAAGCAACTTTTACAAGCGATAACTCAGCTCAAAGATGATAAAATGATTTGAAACTTAACCGGTTTACTGTTGAATTATGTAAGTTTTCGTACTCTGAATTTGAGCGCAGTACAACGCCTTACTCATATTTCATGCTAGTACAAACTTTAGTCCTGGTAATTATGAGCCCTGTATTGACAAAAACTCTTCAATGAACGTTGTTTCAGAAAGTTTTCCAAAATTTCAGGTCTCATGAAGCTGAACTCACTGATAGTGAGGTAACAAGAAAAAGAGGTAATACTATAGTAATTACCGTAATTTTCTTATCGCAGAGATACAGATATGACATATTCCATAGCTAGTATTTTTTTTCTGATTGCAAAGATTTTCAAAGAACATATTAAGTGATATTTGTACAAATACATTTTGCCTTCGATTCCAGCTTCTCGAAGATTGACGTCACATTTCTCATTGTTCTCAAATGCAAACTTTCTGGAACCGCAGATGCTTTAGGTTTGTCGGAAAGCAACCCATTAAAATAATTGGCATCATAATCCCCAAAAATGTCACTCCTAATTTTTTTGGACCCTTTAATTCATGATCATCTACTACATTTATCCTAAATCTTGATTCTATAATTCGAAACCTCCCATCAAAAAATTGCACACCAATTTGATCGGATCCCACACACTTTTTTCACTACACATCGCACAGATTTCAGCTCTAAAACGGAAATTGAATCAAAACTATTTTGACGTCTTTCTCTTTTTGCAGGAGTACGGTAGATTAGAATGCACTCCTGACATCATTTCGATTTCGAAAATCCGAAATAGATTTATAAAAAAAGAAAAAAAGATGGGAGCATTTTTAATCTCTAAAAAAAGAGGGGGAGAAGAAGTTGATCTGTCTAATTATGACATCAACAGGATAATATTTAGGATAAGAGAAGGATCAATAGAAAGAGAAGGATCAATAGAAAAGAAACAATGGGAAAAATTAAAAGAAAGAGAGAAAGATGACAACAACTAATAATAAGTGTTAGAATAGAAAGAAAATGACAGAGGGAGAGAGAGAGAGAGAGGGAAAACCAGAACGGGTTTAAGCAGAAAACGGAGAAAAGATCAGAGAGATAGATTATTGAATGTGTGATGATCTTATCACTTTTTCAATGAGAACTAACTTTAGGTAGGTTTTTAGAGAGATAACCTTGAAAAATGAAAAATAGAAATGTTCTAGGAAACTTGTTCAAAAAACCAAGACCGCCAATATAATCTGGGAATCTGGAAAAAAAAGATTGTTGAGAAAATCTGGTAAATGCTTATAGTCTGGCATCAGAATATCATTGAACATCTTAAACATCTCAGAAGTTTTCAGATTGTGCCGATTCGAGACTTAGAACCGGTATACGATACTGAGGAGCAACAAAAGTGGTAAAAATGGATAAGCTGCTATTAGAAAAAATACGGTATGTTATGATGATCAGAAAACGTTCAACAAGCTCCCGAAGAAGACAATTCAAAACTCAGAAAAAATGGAACCACTTGATATTTCCAAACCAGATGCTAACCTGCATCCAGCCAACCGCCTCTCTTTTATAAACCCGCCCGTTATCTGGTTGACCCGGCAACAGGATCGTGCCAATCGACACGTACATTTGCATATCGACCGTTTGCTTCTGGGAGACCCGTTCCAATAATTATGTTATGAGATGATGTCATGTGAAGAGATCTTTGATGTATTCAGTTGGAAGAGGTGGAAGACACGTAGCAATTCTGATTTCATTTCGGGGAGGTTTTTTCGGTCCGGGCTATCAGAATTTCATCGGGCCGGACCGAGTGTTCTGAATAGATCCTGATTGAATCCTAGATTTCCTATAAATTTCACCAATATTGAGCAATCTTTTGAGCAAAAAAGAGTGTTTAAACAAATTTATGGGAAATTGTGGAGTTTCCGTAAAGAGGTCCTTCTAACCGTTTTTACAATATGTCTGAAGTTGGAATTCGGAGTTCCTGCTAACTTCGGTTGAAGTTCTTGAAAAATTATGGATGAAAATAAAAAAAATGGGCCGGAAGGCCAAGATGGCAAGTGTTCAACAATGGTCATACTGTAAGTCAAGAGGTATGTAGCTCTTGAGACGAGGTAATTAAAATGCTAACTGTTTATCCTTGGCCTGAAAAGACATTCTAAAAAACACTTAACGAAAATGAAAGCACCGAAACTCCAAGAAAAAACAGACTTTCAAATATTTATTCAACTGATTAACATTCTGTTACAATCGTTTCTGTTAATTGTTTTTTTGTTTTTTTTTTCTTTTCATCCTTGACCTTTAAAAGAATCCGCTCTATTCAAGTTTTCATAGCTAGCCAGGTTGTCCATCTGAAAAATTCGACTCTCTGAAATTTTTCAAATCACGTTTGAACTTTCGGTTTCAGCCGAATCATCAACTGTGTTCTTCGCATAATGACACAACTATAAAATGGGAAATGCCTTCGAAAGGCACGCTCTCGCCTCTCTCGGCAAATAATCATTTCGATAGACAATAAAACATTGGGGTGACAAAGATCAGTACGAAAATTTAAAAATTTGGGAATCGGCTTATAGGAGACTGAAGAACAAGAATTTGACTAAATATCAGGAATCTGAGTGAAATCTTCAAATTACGTAATGCCTGTAATAGAAGGGCTCCTAACTCTGAACCAATTTATCTTGGCTCTTGTCAAAGATATAAAAAATGTTGTCAACTGATAGAATATTTATCATAATATCAGTAGTGTTTTGTTAGTTGACACATTGTTGATACCTTTTACAGAAAATGAGGTATATGGGCTCAAATTTGATAGCGTGGGGGGTCTTCCGTAACAGGTTTTACGGTGTATGTTGCTTTGAGATTATTTGGAAATATTTGAAATATTAACCAAATTCAAAGCAACCCAGAATTTACCAGACATGTGGAGTTTCAATCTTATCAAATAAAAAATTATTTTTTTAATTCCATTTTACAACTTAACACGATTGTTCTGTTTTATGATCGCCCAAGACCAGAAAAAGGGCGGGAACAAGTAAAGTTTGACCAATTGAATATAATTCCTAACACACATTCTTCGTTTTTTCTTATCTGAAAACAAAATACAGAAACATCAAAAGTTCAGAATTCGTCTCACTTTTGATTCTTCGGTCACATTTAACCAAAAAAAATGGCCGGTGGTCTGCACTTACAAGTCAATGAGGTCCCTCGACCTCTATCCATCCTCCTATTCGGAATGCAACAGATGATGATATGTCTTTCTGCATTGCTAGTGGTCCCTTATATTGTATCGGATATGTTATGTGCCGGAGATAAGGCTCTTGAAATACGGTTGGTGTACTGTAAGTAGAATGAGATAATTAGGTTAGGCTTTTAGGGTTCAATTGATCTCAGCCACTTTTGTTACTTCGGGTATTGCTACTATTCTACAAACGACATTCGGGTTACGGTATGTGGCACATAATTTGTTAGAATGCAAAATTTGATGCTTCCAGCCTCTCCATCCTTCATGGTCCATCCTTTGCCTTCATTCCTGCACTTCACACATTTCAAACTTCCTTCCCATGTAACGCAGAGACTAGCACCAACAATTGGGAAGAGAAAATGCAGATGGTATTTTTGGAATTTCGTTTTTTAAATTTAATCTTAAAATTTTATTTTCCAGATATCTGGAAGTTGCCTGTTAGCTGTACTCATCATGCCGATTATGGGATTTACAGGACTAATCGGGAAAATCTCCAAATACATTGGTCCAGTGACAATCGTCCCAATTATGAGCTTGCTCACTATTGGTACAGTTCCAGACATTGAGGAAAAAATGGGTCTGCATTGGATTTCTATTGTGTAAGCTTGTGATGGTTTTTCAAGCTTAAAAGGAAGTTTGTGGATTCCAGAGAATTCTTGATTTTGGTAGTGTTTGTGGTTTTCCTTGGACAAACTGAAGTACCAATTCCGGCGTATTCATGGACGCAGAAAAAATTCAAGTTTACTTATCAGAAGATTTTTGGGCAATTCCCTGTAAGTAAAAAACGGTATTAGCTCTAATAAACGCCCATCCTGTATGTGCACTCTGAGCTCAATTATCTCGGTAGGTATTAGAGATATCAAAAGTCTATCAACTGATAAAATATTGGTGATATTTTGATAAATAATTTATTAGTTGACACATTTTTGATATCTTTTACAAGAATCGAGATAATTGAGATCACAGTTGGGCATGCTATCAGAGCAAACACGGTATCACAGGTAAAATGCGAACGGATCCGTTACGGACGCTTAGCGTTTGCGCGCGGTTGAAATAGGAACCGCATACGGTCCGCACGCGACCCGTTTCAGAAAACCATAGCACATTATTCCGTATACCTCCG